ATGTGTCTTGTAGCTGTAGTGGTGATACATGGTCAGGACTTGATGTGTCTTATGGCTGTAGTGGTGATACGTGGTCAGGACTTAATGTGTCTTGTAGCTGTAGTGGTGATACGTGGTCAGGACTTGATGTGTCTTGTAGCTGTAGTGGTGATACATGGTGAGGACTTGATGTGTCTTGTAGCTGTAGTGGTGACATGGTCAGGACTTGATGTGTCTTGTAGCTGTAGTGGTGATACGTGGTCAGGACTTGATGTGTCTTGTAGCTGTAGTGGTGATACATGGTCGGACTTAATGTGTCTTGTAGCTGTAGTGGTGATACGTGGTCAGGACTTAATGTGTCTTGTAGCTGTAGTGGTGATACGTGGTCAGGACTTGATGTGTCTTGTAGCTGTAGTGGTGATACATGGTCAGGACTTGATGTGTCTTGTAGCTGTAGTGGTGATACGTGGTCAGGACTTGATGTGTCTTGTAGCTGTAGTGGTGCATGGTCAGGACTTGATGTGTCTTGTAGCTGTAGTGGTATGGCAGGACTAGGTGTCTTGTAGCTGTAGTGGTGATACATGGTCAGGACTTAATGTGTCTTGTAGCTGTAGTGGTGATACGTGGTCAGGACTTGATGTGTCTTGTAGCTGTAGTGGTGATACATGGTCGGGACTTGATGTGTCTTGTAGCTGTAGTGGTGATACATGGTCAGGACTTGATGTGTCTTGTAGCTGTAGTGGTGATACATGGTCAGGACTTAATGTGTCTTGTAGCTGTAGTGGTGATACGTGGTCAGGACTAATGTGTCTTGTAGCTGTAGTGGTGATACATGGTCAGGACTTAATGTGTCTTGTAGCTGTAGTGGTGATACGTGGTCAGGACTTAATGTGTCTTTAGAGCTGTAGTGGTGATACGTGGTCAGGACTTGATGTGTCTTGTAGCTGTAGTGGTGATACGTGGTCAGGACTTAATGTGTCTTGTAGCTGTAGTGGTGTGATACGTGGTCAGGACTTGATGTGTCTTGTAACTGTAGTGGTGATACATGGTCAGGACTTAATGTGTCTTGTAGCTGTAGTGGTGATACATGGTCAGGACTTAATGTGTCTTGTAGCTGTAGTGGTGATACATGGTCAGGACTTGATGTGTCTTGTAGCTGTAGTGGTGATACGTGGTCAGGACTTGATGTGTCTTGTAGCTGTAGTGGTGATACGTGGTCAGGACTTAATGTGTCTTGTAGCTGTAGTGGTGATACATGGTCAGGACTTGATGTGTCTTGTAGCTGTAGTGGTGATACGTGGTCAGGACTTAATGTGTCTTGTAGCTGTAGTGGTGATACATGGTCAGGACTTAATGTGTCTTGTAGCTGTAGTGGTGATACATGGTCAGGACTTGATGTGTCTTGTAGCTGTAGTGGTGATACGTGGTCAGGACTTGATGTGTCTTGTAGCTGTAGTGGTGATACATGGTCAGGACTTAATGTGTCTTGTAGCTGTAGTGGTGATACATGGTCAGGACTTGATGTGTTCCTAGCTGTAGTGGTGACACATGTCAGGACTTGATGTGTCGTGTAGCTGTAGTGGTGACATGGTCAGACTTAACACGTGTCTTGTAGTCAGTGGTGATACATGGTCAGGACTTAATGTGTCTTGTAGCTGTAGTGGTGATACATGGTCAGGACTTAATGTGTCTTGTAGCTGTAGTGGTGATACATGGTCAGGACTTGATGTGTCTTGTAGCTGTAGTGGTGATACGTGGTCAGGACTTGATGTGTCTTGTAGCTGTAGTGGTGATACATGGTCAGGACTTAATGTGTCTTGTAGCTGTAGTGGTGATACATGGTCAGGACTTGATGTGTCTTGTAGCTGTAGTGGTGATACATGGTCAGGACTTAATATGTGTCTTTTACCATACACAATTCCACCATCACAAGGACTCTGGAACCTAAGCTAACCTAACCAAACCTAACCAAACCTAACCAAACCTAACCAAACCAAACCTAACCTAACCAAACCTTACTGTGACCATCAATAAAACATGTACACTCGACAACATCTGGGAACAACTTGTGGGTGACTATTATAATACATTGACTTATACATTAAAACTAACACAAATGTATATAATAAAATACAAAGGAAATACTCATGTTATGGTTAAGACTCTTCGGTGTTCACTTGACTGGGTTTTGGTTTAGTTATTTATATATTTATATTTAATTTACACATTATTTTATCCCTGGACGAGTTGGCTGGATATTGGGGGAACTCGAGCGTGTGAGTCGCTACTGAGGTTACTGTCTATATACTCTACAGTGAACCCTCCATATAACGGACTTTTCTCACCATATAACGGACTTTTCTCACCATATAACGGACTTTTCTCACCATATAACGGACTTTTCTCACCATATAACGGACTTTTCTCTCCATATAACGGACTTTTCTCTCCATATAACGGACTTTTCTCTCCAGATAACGGACTTTTCTCACCATATAACGGACTTTTCTCACCATATAACGGACTTGTCTCCATATAACGGACTTTTATCTCCATATAACGGACTTGTCTCCATATAACGAACTTCTCCCTCCATATAACGAACTTCTCCCTCCATATAACGAACTTCTCTCTCTCCATATAACGGACTTCTCTCTCCATTAACGGACTTCTCCTTATAACGGACTTTTCTCTCCATATAACGAACTTTCTCTCCATATAACGGACTTTTCTCACCATATAATCCGTTAGATGGAGGTTTCACATCTAATAGAACTTCGATATAGCGGACCTTCCTCTCCGTATACAGTGTAATTCAGTAAATAGAGCTCTCACTGTATTGTAAATCCGGTAACTCTTGAATAAACAGACGGATTTATTTCAGCTTTCACAGGGACGTTAACCCCCCCAAGAGCTCCAGTGGGATTGATTTTAATTGTTATTCGATTGATATTGACGATTACGGCGGCTGTCTCACCAAATCCCGGCCAATTGGTTCAAAATATCGTAATCGAATATAACGCTTATCCGAATTTATGTGAAGTGGGACACGCTTTGGGATTCACCTGAAGATTAGACAACCTAACCTAACCTAACCTCACCTAACCTATCCTAACCTAACCTAACCTCACCTCACCTCACCTCACCTCACCTCACCTCACCTCACCTCCTCACCTCACCCTAACCCAGCCCAGCTTATTTCCTTGATGATTGAACACTTTGGCTCTATCGCTGGGGGTGTTTGGGATAGGTTATTCAGGGTGTTTGGTTGGGATAGGTTAGCTTCAGAGGTGTTTGGTTGGGATGTGTTAGCTTCAGGGTGTTTGGGATGGGATGTGTTAGCTTCAGGGTGTTTGGTTGGGATAGGTTAGCTTCAGGGTGTTTGGTTGGGATGTGTTAGCTTCAGGGTGTTTGGTTGGGATGGTTAGCTTCAGGGTGTTTGGTTGGGGAGGTTAGCTTCAGGTTGGTTGGGATAGGTTAGCTTCAGGGTGTTTGGTTGGGATGTGTTAGCTAGGGTGTTTTGGTTGGGATGTGTTAGCTTCAGGGTGTTTGGTTGGGATGTGTTAGCTTCAGGGTGTTTGGTTGGGATAGGTTAGCTTCAGGGTGTTTGGTTGGGATAGGTTAGCTTCAGGGTGTTTGGTTGGGATGTGTTAGCTTCAGGGTGTTTGGTTGGGATAGTTAGCTTCAGGGTGTTTGGTTGGGATAGGTTAGCTTCAGGGTGTTTTGGTTGGGATAAGTTAGCTAGGATGTTTGGTTGGGATAGGTTAGCTTCAGGGTGTTTGGTTGGGATAGGTTAGCTTCAGGGTGTTTGGTTGGGATAGGTTAGCTTCAGGGTGTTTGGTTGGGATAGGTTGAGACGGGCTAGCATAAGGAGGTTTAATCTTCAGGTGAAATAAACAAGGGTGTCTAATCTTCAGGTGACATAAGCTAGGGTGTCTAATCTTCAGGTGATGTTAGGGCGAATCAATTACCCCTTGCTAATGTACGAGCTGTGACCTTCTTAGTGCCGTGGAAGCTTCCGTGTTAAGAATGCCAGAGTTTCACTTCCTGGGAGAACTCAGTCGTCTGATTAATATTGTACTAATGTCTCTCTCTCTCTCTCTCGCTCTCTCTCTCTCTCTCTCTCTCTCTCTCTCTCTCTGACCTTTATATTTCAGTTAATTGCCCATGAACAACTCCCCCTTGTACCATGATATAAACTGAGGTCTCATGAGGCGTGATACGTTATATTCATGGCCTCTCATTACCTCTCATGGCCGACAACTTATTGGGACCAAATTCCTCTGTTGAACATTTTACATTGAGTACCGTCAACCTACCTCTCCTGTGTGTTCTTTCTTTTCTTTCGTCTTTCTTTCGTTCTTTCTTTCTTTCTTTTCTTTCTTTCTTTCTGTCTTTTTATCTTAATTTCCTTCCTGCCTTCCATCCTACTTATTATTATTATTATTATTATTATTATTATTATTATTATTATTATTATTATTATTATTATTATTATAACGTAAATAATTATATCTACTGATGTCAAAGGCACAGTTTAGGCACTAGTATGATAGGGACCACTAGCATTGGGGCCCGTTAGGACCAGAACCACTAAGTCTGGGGCCCACTAGGACTGGGTCATTATTCTAACACCTAAACTGGCATTATAATTGGTATCTATTAGCTGTTAAAGGAATGCCCATTAAATTGGCCTCCATTAAAACTGGCACCTGTTAAAACGTCACCTTTTAGTAGTGGCGCTTATTAAGACTGGTTCCTATTAGAAATGCTATTAAGACCCCCCTTCCCATTTAGGCAGATTGAAGGGGGGGGGTGTCAGCTGTGATTGACCCTGAAGGAGGTGGTCCAGGAGTCAGGTAAAAGGTCAACCCTGGCAAGAGAGACGCTATGAAAGGCCGCTGCCGAGGTACTTACTCAGACAGAATGTCAACAAACAATTGGTGGACCTGAAACATTTTACAAAGTCTTCAACGGTGACAGTTTTTATTTCCTATTTTAATTTGTATTTATTTATTTATATATTTATTTTTTTTACGATGGATTTTGCTCTAACGTAAATATGGTGCGGGAAATAATAAACTGGTGTACTTGAGATAGCTGCTGTGGGTCTATTTATTTATGGTAAATACAAGTGGTTGGAGGACTAACAATGATGATATACTGTTAATGATGTCAGGTCAGGTCAGGTCAGCCGAGGTGTCTACTTTCCAGGTTGGTTAGCGTTAAGGTGGTTAATCATCAGGATAAGGTTAGGTTAGGTTAGGTTAGGTTAGGTTAGGTTAGGTTAGGTTAGGTTAGGTTAGGTTAGGTTAGCGTTAAGGTGGTTAATCTTCAGGTGAACTACACAAGGTTATGGAAAAATCAATTGTGTTCTAGTCCCCCAGACGGGCATGTGTGTGCGTGTGTAATAATAATAATAATAATAATAATAAACGGTTTATTAATAGAGTTGCGGCCGGTGGCTGAAAATATACAGACTTACATTTGATTTAGACATAATGATATAATATACGTTGAATACATTTTTGTTTGTTGTGTGTGTGTGTAGTAATAATAATAAATAATAATAATAATAATAATAATAAATAATAATAATAATATATAATAATAATAATAATAATAATAATAATTCCAATTAACTGTTTATTGAAAGAGCATGGCAGCCGGAAGGCTGAAAATATCGAGTTACATGGGGGAATGGGTCTCTTGATTGACAAATAATATACAAGTAACATAAGTGATACATATATGATATATAATAACTAGGTGGGGAGAAGGTTATACTACAGGGCATTTCAACATAGGGACAGTACAAAAAGGTAAGATTGACTGGTAGTGAATACACTGGTTGATTACGAGTTATTGATAATTTTTACAATGGTTGGGACTGGGCTGTTCTTATAGCGATCAGTTCGTGCTCGTATGGGCTAGATGCGGTAGTAGTGTCGAACAGCAATTCTCGGAAGGATCTCCGGGTGGTAATGAGGCGGTGTCGAGGATGGTGCAGAAGCTTCTCACCAAATTTGCAGATGAGGTCATGGTGATGGTCAGAAGAGCCGAGGAGGGGCAGTCTGTTGAGCTTTGATATGTGGAGTAGGAAGGGGAGAATAATCTTGCATGCCGTCTTTTGCAATTTTCCTAGTTGTTTACGTTTATTATTAGTATGTATGTATGTATGTATGTATATTGTATGTATGTATGTATGTATGTATGTATGTATGTATGTATGTATGTATGTATGTGGATGTGAGTTAGTTGCCCCGTCCAATATTGATTCTCGATGTGTAGGTGTTGCTGAGACTCCAATACCCAAGTGTAGCCTTTGTGGCCTGCCGACTGGGCTTCCTTCCACTTCCTCTCTCGTGCCTGAGTCTGTGTTCAGGCGGGAAGCAAAAATAGTCTCTCTCTCTCTCTCTCTCTCTCTCTCTCTCTCTCTCTCTCTCTCTCTCTCTCTCTCTCTCTCTCTCTCTCTCTCTCTCTCTCAACCACTTCCTATTTTTCACACAATATTGCTTTCCACTGTGGCCAAAGCTTTTGAAAATACATCAGTGAATTTTGTTTCAGTATTCAGGTATGTGTGTGTGTTTCTGTGTGTGTGTGTGTGTGTTTCTGTGTGTGTGTGTGTGTGTGTGTGTGTGTGTGTGTTTCTGTGTGTGCGTGTGTGTGTGTTTCTGTGTGTTCGTGTGTTCCTGTGTGTGTGTGTGTATTTCTGTGTGTGCGTGTGTGTGTGTTTCTGTGTGTGCGTGTGTGTGTGTTCCTGTGTGTGTGTGTATATTTCTGTGTGTGTGTGTGTGTGTGTGTGTGTGTTGTGTTGTGTTGTGTTGTGTTCGGATTATATTTGCTATGGGATATAGGTGTGGTCTCCATGTAGCCAAGGTGTGGTCCCCATGTGTGGGTGTGGTCTCCATGTAGCCAAGGTGTGGTCCATGTAGCCAAGGTGTGGTCTCCATGTAGCCAAGGTGTGGTCTCCATGTAGCCAGGCAGGTAGTAAGTGGTATAGCGTGGCACTAGGGTAAGGCAGCACTGGTGGTGATAACTCAGCTCGGTAGGCCTCACGGTGTAATGATCACCACTCACTACAGCCTCTGTTGAACACCTGTACTTTACATCTCTTTAATAACAGCCCTTTGTCCGTATGTATGTATGTATGTATGTATGTATGTATGTATGTATGTATGTATGTATGTATGTACAGTATGTATGTATTACAGTATGTATGTATGTATGTATGTGTGATAATATGTGTTTATATAATATGGATAGGGTATATGAATTGCGGATATGAGGATTGGGGCCCGTTTGGGTTGCATATATATGAGATTTGGGGCCCTTGAACCCAGCCCACACTACCTACACCCACACTAACCCATCCCACAAACCCACACCACTAACCCATATCCCACACAAACCCACATCCACGCTAACCACACCCCCACTAACCCACACCCACACAAACCGCACACAAACCCACACCCACACAAACCCACACACACAAACCCACATCATACAAACCCACCCCTAACACACATCCCACAAACCCCACACCCACAAACCCCACACCCCACACAAACCCACACCCCACACTAACCCATATCCCACACAAACCCACATCCCACACAAACCCACATCCCACAAACCCACACCCACCAACCCACACCCACGCAAACCCACCCCCACACTAGCCCACACCCCACACTAGCCCACATCCCACACTAACCTACACCCCACTAACCCACATCCCTGAAACCCACACCCACACAAAACCCACACACACAAACCCCACCCCACACACAAACCACCCACACAAACCCTACCAGCATACCAACCCACATCCCACACACAAACCCACACCCCACAAGCCCACCCCACAGCCCACACACACACAAACCCACACCACACACAACCCCACACCCCAGACCCCACATCCCACACAAACCCACACACACAACCACCCCACACTTACCCACACCCCTTACCCCACACACACACACAAACCCACAGCGTACACAAACCCACATCCCACAAACCCACACACCCCACACAAACCCACACAAACCCACACCCCACACAAACCCCACCCCACACAAGCCCACACACAAACCCCACCCCTTACTCCCCTTACTCACCCCCACACTTACTCACCCCACACTACACCCACACACAAACCCACACCCCACACACAAACCCACACACGCCACACAAACCCACCCCACACAAACCCACCCCTTACTCACACCCCACCTCACCCCACACAAACCCACACCCCCACACAAACCCACACCCCCACACAAACCCACACCCCACACAAACCCACACCCCACACAAACCCACAACGCGTACACAAACTCTTAAATAAACCTACACGAACCCTCACACAATCCCATGGCCCACAAGCAATCTTTTAGCCTGGGACCTGACAGCTAGCAGGCAGCATGTCGAGGGCCAACAGGGCGGCCTGGAGTTTATGTCAATTTGAGAATCTGTCTTGTTTTGTGTACGTGTGTCAATGTGTGTGTGTGTGTGATGATGTGTGTGTGTGTGTGTGTGTGTGTGTGTGTGTGTGTGTGTGTGTGTTTGTCTGTGTGTGTGTGTGTCTGGAACAGGAACCCAATTTTTAGAGAGGGAATTATCATTTGACTCTCTCTCTCTCTCTCTCTCTCTCTCTCTCTCTCTCTCCTTAAGATGTATACGTGTAATACATGGTCAGGACTTGATGTGTCTTTTAGCTGTAGTGGTGATACGTGGCCAGCCCTTCACGTAACCTTTTATCTGAAGTAATTTGATACATAATAGGCATTTCACTTACAGCCTGAATAAAAATTGTTCTTTATGTATCATGCCTGTGATCCTGTACACAATAGCCATTAGTGGTCGTGTGTGTGTGTGTGTGTGTGTGTATCTGTGTCTGATGTGATCGGAGACTGTGTAGTGGTTTGTTGTTCCGAACTTGGAACTTTGTGACTGTAATGTGATTCTACTTTTTTATTTTTTTTTATTTTTTAGGGTTTTAAATTTTGACTGGTTTTAAGCAAGTGATACTCTCTCTCTCTCCTCTCTCTCTCTCTCTCTCTCTCTCTCTCTCTCTCTCTCTCTCTCTCTCTCTCTCTCTCTCTCTTTCTCTCTCTCTCTCTCTCTCTCTCTCTCTCTCTCTCTCTCTCTCTCTCTCTCTCTCTCTCTTTTCTTCTCTTCTCTTCTCTTCTCTTCTCTTCTCTTATCATAATGGTGTATAAGTAGTGTATGTAACTCACTACACCTTCACTCACTCGCTCTATAACTACTGTAACTCACTACACCGTCACTCACTCGCTCTATAACTCCTGTAACTCACCACACCGTCACTCACTCGCTCTATAACTCCTGTAACTCACCACACCGTCACTCACTCGCTCTATAACTCCTGTAACTCACTACACCTTCACTCACTCGCTCTATAACTACTGTAACTCACTACACCGTCACTCACTCGCTCTATAACTCCTGTAACTCACTACACCGTCACTCACTCGCTCTGTAACTCACGGAGCCAACATGGACATGAAAAAGCTCTTATGGTAATGGCTGTGTGATTTTACATCGATAATGACATTGGTAAGTGAAAGTGAGAATATTTGTTAGTGAAAGTGGGAATATTTGTTAGTGAAAGTGGGAATATTTGTTAGTGAAAGTGGGAATATTTGTTAGTGAAATTAGGAATATTTGTTAGTGAAAGTAGGCATATTTGTTAGTGAAAGTGTGAATATTTGTTAGTGAAAGTAGGAATATTTGTTAGTGAAAGTAGGAATATTTGTTAGTGAAAGTAGGAATATTTGTTAGTGAAAGTAGGAATATTTTTCTATTAGCTAAATCAGGAATTCTTTTCAATGAAAAGGAAGGATTTTTATTGACAGAAAAATTTAGTTCATTAAGGGATTGGAATTGGAGTGAGTCTTTTTGCTAAACAGAGCTCTCTCTCTCTCTCTCTCTCTCTCTCTCTCTCCCCTTCCTTCAGACTGTGGACACCGGAACGTAGGGAACGGAACAAAGAACGGGAAGTACAGTATGGAACGGGAGAGATAAGGGACGTGAGGAATGAGAGATAAGGTGGGTGAGGGAACGAATTGGTGGAGAGGAATAGGGGGAAGGTATCATGGCACGGAACGAGAGGAACGCGGAACGGAACGAGAGACAAGACACGGAACGAGAGGCACCTGATATCTGATGACGTTGCGCAATTTCTGCTCGTGGATTGTAAACTGAAGTTGATTTTCTGGGGGGTTCAATCTATCTGTACGGACCCCAGAGATCTCCTGACCCCATATCCGGACCCCAGAAGCTCCATAACCCAATATCCGGACCCCAGAAGCTCCATAACCCAATATCCGGACCCCAGAAGCTCCATAACCCAATATCCGGACCCCAGAAGCTCCCCTAACCCACTATCCGGACCCCATAAGCCCTCCTAACCCACTATCCGGACCCCATAAAGCCCCCTGACACCTCATATAGAGAGCAGCGTTGAGCAGAGTGTGGGAGATATGGGGACGAGTCATGGTATTGGGCCGGTAAGTGTTATCCGATACCGAGGAGCCTTCCGATATTCCTTTATGGGGTAATGTTAAACCCCGGGCTTGTCGATGGTTAGGTTGGGTTAATACGAGTTGGTGTTGGGTTAGGTTAGGTTAATACGAGACGGGTTAGATTAGGTTAATAGGAGCTGGGTTAGGTTAGGTTAATACGAGACGGGCTAGATTAGGTTAATATGAGCAAGGTTAGGATTAACGAGACGGCTTAGGTTAGGTTAATAGGAGCTGGGTTAGGTTAATACGAGACGGGCTAGATTAGGTTAATATGAGCAAGGTTAGGTTAATACGAGACGGGTTAGGTTAGGTTAATGCGAACTACACACACACACACATGAGGTCTTCCCAGCGTTAGTATCTGAATATGAATAATTGTGTGGATAGTGACGTCATTGAGCACTTGACTCACGCGACCTTCCTGGTGTGAGTAAACAGTGAGTGAGTGTTACGGTTTAAGGTTAAAACAGTTAAATATATTGTTAAAACACAGTAAAACCCTCGTAAGGCAGTTAGAACCTCTTAAAACTGTTAAATCCCATTAAAACAGAGAAATCCCCTTAATTAAACACAGTAAAATCCTCTTAAAACAGTTAAACCCTCAGAAAAACAGTTAAACCGTCGTTACACAGGTTAAATCCTCTTAAAACAGTTAAATCCTCCTAAAACAGTTAAACCCTCAGAAAAACAGTTAAACCCTCGTTACCCAAGTTAAATCCTCTTAAAACAGTTAAACTCATTATACCAGTTAAACCTCGTTGAATCACAGTTAAACCCTCGTTAAAATAGAGTTGAGCTTCTCATTAAAACATTTAAACCTCGACTCCCCAATAGGTCAGACTTCCCACCCGGGTTTAGTTTCCGCAGCTTCGAGTGGTATGGCACTATTATGCTCCCAACTGGGCCTTGAATTCAATATGTGTAATTATGCCCACTACAGGATGTGATTTTGGTACTATGCTATTATCCCCTCTGTGTGGGGTCCCCTTCTCCTTGACGGCTGTAGTCATTATGATCACTCCAGGGCCCCTTGAGAGAGGTGTAGGGGTTAGGTTATGTTATGGAAGGTAAGGTTCTTCTTAACCCCTCTTTCTTTCTCCTCCTCCATCCCTCTTCTCCCCCCTTCCTTTCTCCCCTCTCTATCCTCTCCTCTCCCTTCCTTTATATACCCTTTTATGTTTATTCTTTTCTCCTCTCCTTTGCTTCTTCCTATTATATTATTCCTTTATTTAATCGCCTCTTTCTCTATGCCTCATTTATTCTTCTTGTCACTTCTTGTTTGCCCTCTCTTCCTTTTTCCTTCCTGCCTTTTCTCTCTCTTCGTGAAATAATCTCCCCTTCCACCCTTTCTCTCATCCCCTTTCCTTTTATTCTTCTTGTCTTCCTCTTCACTT